GGGGTCTGCTTCTCCCTCTGCCCTCTTCCCTCTCGTGCTCTCTGTCTCTCATTCTCTCTCTCTCAAATAAATAAATAAAATCTTAAAAAAAAAAAAGAATCAGCAAGACCCCAAATATTGCTTTCTGCTTTCTTGCATCCTGTGTCAACCCAAAAAGAATGAATTCAGTCACACTGCTATTCATCGCCATACTAGTGACTGCAGGTAAGATGCAGTTGACAAGGGCTTAATCTGCAAAGAGAAGAAAAGAAGTGACATCATGGGAAGACTAGTGGATTGAGCCCTGCATTCCTTCTTTTTGTTCCATGTTATGTTACCTCCAACTGCCTTTAATCCTCTGTGAATCATTGTAAATCTACAGAAGTCCAAGCCTCTCCCAGATCTATCTGGTGATTCAGAAACCAACTGCATTGCATCAAAGAATATAAATGTCCTTTAAAAATTTTGATTCCTACCAAGATTGAACACGGCATAATTTGTACTTTTCTTGGGCAAGTGACTTAACTGCTTTGAAATTTAGCCTTCATATGAAAACTGGAGTCCAATACTTGCCCTACCTTACCCTGAGTTTCCCTAAGAATTAAAAAAAGATTTATTATGCACACATATACACACATATATTTCATGTATTATGCTTAAAATCTGATTCCAATATATTTCAGGATTGGAATTGGAAATAAATTCCAATATAATTCAGCACTCATATTGCTGGAGAATCCCTCCTGAAGAAAATATTCTCACTTCAGTTCATTAATTTTTGGATCTCTGACCCCCATCATCTCTGATCCCGACTTTATCTTGGAGGAAATATGCTTTACAAAAAATATATTTTGACAATCTTTTACTTATGCCTCTGTTTTCAATGTCAACTTCACTGATGGTCATTAAATAACAAATGTCTGGAGAACTTTGAGGATTGGCATAATTGAGGAAAATTCCTGTTTACCCTCTTTACTGTACTCTTAAACTGAACTCATTAGAATATTGAGCATTTGTGCATATGAATTCAATGTGGTATAAAATTCCTAATGATGCCTATAATCTATAATTTAAATAGTGTTTTTACTCATATATGTTCCTTTTTACCCTGAATTCCCCAGAATGCTTCTTCTAAAAATATCAATTAAAAAAAATCCCTAATTCCAATATACTATGTTATGGTTTTGCTATTTCAAGTTCTTGTTTGTAGAATGTATAGTTTGTCATTGAAATCATTGTATATCATTTTGTGTTCTGATTTTGACTTGGAATTATTATAACACTTATTCCCACGTTACTATACTTTCCCTATTTTAATTGTTTATTTAATTATGTGACATTGTATAAATGTTTCTAAGTGGCATTTATTTGATCCTTTGTCCATTGAGATATTGATGTTGCTTCCAATTATCACTCTTACAGATAACAATTTAGATGATGTTGTATGATATAATATCAAGTATGATATTGCTGCCCCAAATGCTAGAGGTTATCATTGGTATTGACAATTATTAACAAGTTTTTCAATATTTTGTGTTCATTTATTAACTATATTTTATTGTAGACTAATTCATGATTATCATTAATTATTCAAAGTACAAAGGAGAAAGTTAAAATGTGTCTCTAAATTATTTAACCTATAACCCTACTCCACAGAAATAATGCTTTTGTTTTATTATATTTCCTTTTAGAAACATTCTATTAGTATACTTGCATGTCTGTATTTCTACAACTGTTTTCTATATACAAGTATGGCCACAATTTCAAGGTTGGTGATTTTGCAGAAAAGCTGATGAACATGCAGACAAACAAACAGTTATTTTGTGACATTATCTTATTATCTCAATTGGTTAAGAGAAATAAAATTGTATCTTATTATGCACATATACTTTTTTAACACCAACCACATTCTACAATTTTACTATTTTTTTTTAAATTTTATTTATTTGTTTGACATAGAGAGAGAGAAAGCACAACAGGGGGATCAGCAGGCAGAGGGAGAGGGAGAAGCAGGCTCACCAAGCAGGGAGCCCTAAGAGGGGCTCAATCCCAGAACCCTGGGATCTTTTCTTGAGCCATGCAGGCATCCCCATTTTTATGAAAATATTGTTCTTCTGAGAATTTTTTATCTTTTGTCAGTTTATATTTTGCAATCTTATTTTACCTGGAATGGTTATTAACCTAGCAAAATAATTACATCTTGACCAAGAACACAGCAGCTAGGGTCAAATGTCTTGAGTTCAAACCCGAGTTCTACTACTTACATGCTTGGGAAAGACACTTAAATATAATCATGGTATCTCTGCAGGTAAAATGAGAAAAAGATCTGGCTCATAATAAGTAAGAACTATGTAAGTGCCAGCAACTGCTTCTTTCACCATTAGGATTTTACTTGTTCTCTTTTTCTGTGGCTATTTCTTTTCATATAGTCCAAGCTGTAATTTTCCCATTTTATTTTTTATTTTTTAAATTATATTTTATTATGTTAGTCACCATACAATACATCATTAGTTTTTGATGTAGTGATCTACAATTCATTGTTTTTGTATAACACCCAGTGCTCCATGCAGTACATGCCCTCCTTAATACTCATAACTGGGCTAACCCATCCCCCACCCCACTCCCCTCCAAGACCCTCAGTTTGTTTCTCAGAGTCCATAGTCTCTCATGGTTTATCTCTCCCTCCAATTTCCCCTGCTTTGTTTTCCCCTTCCTTCTCTTACTGTCCTCCATGCTACTCCTTATGTTCCATAAATAAGTGAAACCATATGATAATTGACTTTCTTTGCTTGACTTATTTCACTTAGCATAATCTCCTCCAGTCCCATCCATGTTGATGTAAAAGATGGGTATTCATCCTTTCTGATGGCTGAGTAATATTCCACTGTATATATGGACTACATCTTCTTTATCCATTCATCTGTTGAAGGGCATCTCAGCTCTTTCCACAGTTTGGATATTGTGGACATTGCTGCTATGAACATTGGGGTGCATATGGTCCTTCTTTTCACTACATCTGTGTTTTGGGGGTAAATACCCAGTAGGGCAATTGCTGGGTCATAGGGTAGCTCTATTTTTAATTTCTTGAAACACCTCCACACTGTTTTCCAAAGTGGCTGTACCAACTTGCATTTCCACCAACAGTGTAAGAGGGTTCCCTTTTCTCCACAACCTCTCCAACATTTGTTCTTTCTTGCCTTGTCAATTTTTGCCATTCTAACTGGTGTAAGGTGGTATCTCAATGTGGTTTTGATTTGAATTTCCCTGATGGCTAATGATGAACATTTTTTCATGTGTCTGTTGGCCAATCGTATGTCTTCTTTAGAGAAGTGACTGTTCATGTCTTCTGCCCATTTTCTGACTTGATTATTTGTTTTTTGGGTGTTGAGGTTGAGTTCTTTTTTTTTTAAGATTTTATTTATTTATTTGACAGAGAAAGACACAGCAAGAGAGGGAACACAAGCAGGGGGAGTTGGAGAGGGAGAAGCAGGCTTCCCACCAAGCAGGGAGCCCGATGCAGGGCTCGATCCCAGGACCCTGGGATCATGACCTGAGCTAAAGGCAGACACTTAATGACAGAGCCACCCAGGTGCCCCGAGAAGTTCTTTATAGATCTTGGATACCAGCCCTTTATCTGTAGTGTCATTTGCAAATATCTTCTCTCATTCTGTGTGTTGCCTCCTTGTTTTGTTGACTGTTTCTGTGGGATTTATCCCCAGGATGCAAGTGTGGTTCAACACTCACAAATCAATCAATGTGATAGAACACATTAATAAGAGGAGAGAGAAGAATCATATGGACCTCTCAAGTGATGCAGAAAAAGCATTTGACAAAATACAGCATCCTTTCCTGATTAAAACTCTTCAGAGTATAGGGATAGAGGGAACATTCATCAAGTTCATAAAATCCATCTATGAAAAACCCACAGCGAATATCATCCTCAGTGGGGAAAAGATGAGAGCCTTTCCCTTAAGATCAGGAACACATCAAGGATGCCCACTCTCGTCACTATTGTTCAACATAGTACTAGAAGTCCTAGCAACAGCAATCAGACAACAAAAAGAAATAAAAGGTATTCAAATTGGCAAAGAAGAAGTCAAACTCTCTCTTCACAGAAGACACGATACTTTATGTGGAAAACCCAAAAGACTCCACCCCCAAATTACTAGAACTCATGCAGCAATTCAGTAATGTGGCAGTACAAAATCAATGCACAGAAATCAGTTGCTTTCTTATACACTAACAATGCAACTGTAGAAAGAGAAATTAGAGAAATGATTCCATTTACAAGAGTACCAAAAAACCATAAGATACCTCAGAATAAACCTAACCAAAGAGGTAAAGATCTATACTCTAGGAACTACAGAACATTCATGAAAGAAATTGAAGAAGACACAAAAAGATGGAAAAACATTCCATGCTCATGGATCAGAATAAACATTGTTAAAATGTCTATGCTACCCAGAGCAATCTATATCTTCAATGACATCTGGATCAAAATTACAATAACATTTTTCAAAGTGCTGGAACAAACAATTCTAAAATTTTTATGGAATCAAAAAAGACCCTGAATTGCCAAGGAAATGTTGAAAAAGAAAAACAAAGCTGGGGGCATCACGTAGCCTAATCTCAAACTATATTACAAAGCAGTGATCACCAAGACAGCATGGTACTGGCACAAAAACCATTTTCTCTTTTCTATCAATCCAATTTTATTGAAGCTGTTACAGAATTAGAAATTGAAATCTTCTGTTTTCTCCCATTGCAAGTCAGAATTTGTGGCACCATAACTTCCTCATGGCATTTTTCACTTCTGCATTTCTCAGAGTGTAAATCAGAGGGTTAAGCAAGGGTGTCCCAATGGTGTAAAACACAGCCATCTTGTCCACTGGAAATGTAGTTACAGGACGAGTATATGTGAATATACATGGGACAAAGAATAAGATGACAACAATAATGTGGGATGTACAGGTAGAGAGGGCTTTCTTTCTTCCTTCTGCAGTCTTGTTATTCAGAGAATGTAAGATGAAAATATAAGAGGTAAGCAGGACTATGAAACTTACCATGCAGATAGCCCCGCTGTTAAAAACTATGAATAAATTGATTTTATAAGTGTCCATGCATGCAAGTTTCAGCAAAGGTGTCATATCACAGAAATAATGATCAATAACATTGGGTCCACAGAATGGTAGTTTCAAAGCCAAGAAAATCTGTGAAGAAGAATGGATACAAGGTACCACCCATGCCAGATTCACCATTGTACCACAGACATGCTGGTTCATGATAGCTGTGTACCGCAGGGGCTTACAAATTGCCACATAGCGATCAAAGGACAGGAAGATGAGCACCGAGACCTCCAAACACCCAAACAAGTGAACTGCAAAAATTTGGGTCATGCACTCATTGTAGGAGATGACTTTCTTCTCAGATACAGAATCTACTATCAATCTAGGAGCAGTGGTTGTTGAGAAACAGGCATCAGCAAAGGATAAGTGGAAAAGGAAGAAGTACATGGGGCTCCCAAGTGTCCAGCTGTATCTTATGGTCATCACAATCAGTAAATTTGTTATCAGAGTTGCAAGGTATAGAAACAAGAAGACCACAAACATGACTTTCTCCTTTAGAACATTCTGTGTTAACCCAAACAGAATGAACTCATTCACACTGCTATTCAACTCCATGGTTACAGTGAATGTAGGAATTGTTCATCTGCAGAGAAAATTAGGGAAATAGTGACCTGGAAATAGTGGTGAAATTGGATTCAGAATTGCACTTTTATAGTTCTAATTCCACCAACACATAAACCAATGGCGCTAGGTATGTCATATATTATAATCACTTGGGAAACTTTCTTTTTTTTTTTAAGTGTTGATGTCCATGCTTTAACCATGAGCATTAACTGAAGGTCTTCCTATGTGGACTGGGATTTTCAGGGGTAACAAAGCACTCAAGTGATCGTGAGCTCTGCCACGTTCTGAGAACTAATGACTTTTCTGTATGATCTTGATCAGATCACTTTAATGTCTTGAAGCTTTTTTCTTTATTTGAAATTGGACACTCTAATAGATATTTTATTAAGTATATACCTATGTGTATGATGTGCATATGATGTATATGGTCTCAATTACAGAAAAATAATATCTTTATATAATTTTAAAACATATACACTTGGAGACTCCCTCTTACAAAAACACATTTCTTGATTTGGACACCAATTAACACCTATTATTCCTGACATCTTGAGTATCTTGTTTTGATTATGCTTTAAGAAGAAATTACTTCTGCAAATTCAGGTTCATGGTGGCCATAATTTTACCTTCTATTACTTAAATTTAGGAAATTTCTACAATTTATCTTTATTCTTATAATATTTCTGTACCTTTTAATATTGATGTCAAATGATCTAGAATTTATTTTAGTATGAGTTTTGAGAAACTCTTTCTTTCTGATAAATTACCAATCCTTCAATGAATCAATAACAACATCAAATCAGTCACCAATATGTACTAAGTACATACTCATATCTGTAATCTATGTAATGGGGGATAGAAATATATCCTCAACCTCTTTACAACCACGTTGGAAGGATAACATACCTCTAGATAAGATCATTACATAAGAATTACCTACAACTCTATGTGATAATACCAAGTGAATTTTGGTTCCAAAAGTACAAAGGTCCCTTGATTATGAATTGGCGGTCAGAGAATTTTCAAAAATGACAAAGAAGTGAAGTAAGGCTTTAAATATTTTAAACTGGAGTTCCCAACACAGTTCTCTGAAACTCAAGTATTCCATAAGTTTATACTACCTTTCCCTAAGTAAAATACGTATTTTAAAATTACTGACTCAAATCATCTATTTACCCCAATAAAATTCCATATCTGAATAAAACTTAAAATATATTTGCCATCCAGCTAAAATAATATTAGTGCAGTATGATAAACTAGAGATGTTATAACTACAAGTTCTGATTGGCAGTTCCAATGTTTCTTGACAGCTATAAAAAAAATAGAAAAGAAAAAAAATAATGATTACTTTGTTTTGAAACATTAGATTCCTGGGGCACCTGGATGGTTCAGTCAGTTAAGCACCTGACTCTTAGTTTTGGCTCAGGTCCTGATCTCATGAGTCTTCGGATCAAGCCCTCCAGCCCCCTGTCAGGCTCCACACTCAGCAGGAGTCTACTTGGATATTCTCTCCCTCTGCCACCTCCCCCACTCATTCTCTCTCTCACTCTCTCAGAAAAACATAAATAATTATAATCTTTAAAAAAAAAAAAGAAACACTAGATTCCTAAAAAGGGATGAAACCAAAGGAGGGAGGGCTTGGCTGTGAAGAGAGGAGCAGTTAGGTGAGAAGAGTCAGTAAAATATCATAGAGGGAGAAACATGCATAGCTTCAGGCTAACATAGAGATGATCTCCATAGAAACTATACTCTCATTAAATTAAAAGATTGCAACAGAGAAATTTGGGGGCAGATAATGGACAACCATGAAAGCCAGGTGATGTAGTTCTATTTTGTTCTATTTTAAATAAGCAAAAAGAAGATTTGGTGGCATTAAGACAAGAAAGTAGCACTTACAAGATGTATACATTATGTGAGATCAACACCACCAATCAGAGTTCTATCACTGAATTCAGTCATCATTTCCTCACAATCCCAGACTGTCCTATCTCAAGGATTCTAGGGGACATCTCAGTAATAGAGCATGCTTTTTCTCTTCCTTAATCCTTAATTTTTATTTTGCCAGTTGAAATTTTACAGTTCAAATTATACTGGTACCAATAGTCTTCCCTTGTTTTTCCCAGTCAGTAGGTTTGTGCCTCTATCTCTTATATTAATATGTTCTTTATTAAATATATAGATATAATACACACAGTTGAATAAGGCAATCCTAGATTATATATTATTATTCTTCTAAAGTCTTCAAACCTCATTCAAACAATATTCCTCTTTTGTTATTTCATTTGACCAGCACATTTTCTTGCAAGGTATGAAGAGTATGGCCCCTTGCTTTATGTACAGAGAAAAGTATGTACAGAGTTTCAGCTGTGATACAGAAAGTTTCACCAAGTACAGTACAGTCAGGCTAGAACTAGAATGGGATGCTACTAGGTAGCATCTCTCTCTAGCATTCATCTTTCACAGCATATAAAACATCAAATCCCTATCATCATGTAGATTACATTCAAGAGAAGAAAAATCCTGAGCCATCAGAGAAGAAAAATCCTGAGCCATCAGAGAAGGATGCCAAGTGATACCTTAAATCCCTATCCTGACTACAAAAATCAGGTTCTGTAAACTGCATGCTGAGGAAAAGGGAAAACTAGATACCCAAATGAGTAATGGTGAAGAGGAAGAAAGGGCAAAACAGAATACAGTCAGAGCAGGAAAGAGGAGAGTGAGAGTGAGCAGACACCAGGGAGGGAAGAGTTAAGGGATAAGATACATGGCTGGAAATAGTGTCCAGGAACTTTATCATTTGTTAGAAGACACTCTGAGTATAGATTCCATCAGGTCAGTCTTGAAGAGGCAATGTGAAGAAATGATCTCAGACAGACTGAAAACTTACCTCTTTGCTTATGAGGATATAGATGACTTCTAATATAGTAAATTTTCTTGTATCTTCAACTTCAATTGACTTAGAAGGTGAATCATATGAAGCCTGAATAAAGCATGCAAACTGTACTTCATTGAGATTTAACAATGTTTTTTATCCCAACAGGTGATGGATGTAGAAAGTTTATGGAGAAAGTAGACTCTGCATGTGGCCATACATCACACAGCTCCTCCCCAGAAGCACTAAGTTAGACAAAAACAAAAACAATAAGGTGTAGATTGGAGCAGGGGAGAGGGTCATGAGAAAGTGAATTTTCTTAATTCAGTTCCCCAAAACTTTATGAAGGAATCTTATCCCTGCACTCTGAGACAGAAATGCCTCTGAAACTGCCTCTCTTCCCAGAGTTGCTCTTTCAGAAAACACAGGAGGTAACTGATTTCTTCTTACAGCATTGCATATTTATGGCAATTACCACACAAGTTTGTAAATGCCTAAGGCAGGCTTCCAACCTCAGGATCTTTAGGAAAACCATTACTCCCAACCTAGTACCAAAGGATGTCCTTGTTCAGATGGTCCATGGACAAACACATGCTTTGGGGCCAATTAGTTACCTCCAACTCACTGTGAACTGCGGGAGAGGAAAGTCTGTTTCACTTCTCCATAGGCTTTGCTTAAGCCCATCTCTTGTAGAAGCGTGAAAGTTGCTGAAGCCAGTTAAAGGCTCAGATAGATGAAGTAAGTCAGGTAAACAGACATGAATCTTAGCCCCATCATTATCTGCTATGTGATGTTAAGCAAGTTTCTCAACTTTTTTAATTTACAATTTTCTCTTAGGAAAAGTCAACTGGTAATAAAATTTCTTCTTAAAAAAAAATAAAAAATAAAATTCTTTCTTTCTTCTTTCTTTCTTTCTTCTTTCTTTCTTCCTTTCTTTCTTCTTTCTTTCTTTCTTCCTTCCTTTCTTCTTCTATTTCTTTCTTTCTTTCTTATATCTTTTTTAGACAGAAAGAGAGCACATGAGCTGTGAGGTGGAAGGGCAGAGGGAGAGAGAGAATCTCAAGCAGGCTCCACACCCAGCATGGAGCAACACACAGGGCTCATTCTCACGACCATGAGATCATGACCTGAGCTAAAATCAACATATGTTTCTAAGTCAAGGTAGAGAGGAACACAGGAAAGAAGGAAAGGGAAAGAATTTTTGAATACATGTCTTCTGTATTTTATTTTTATTTTTAAATATATATGCCCTTCCTGGGGCACCTGGATGGTTCAGTTAGTTAAGCCTCTGACTCTTGAATTTGGCTCAGGTCAAGGTCTTAGGATCATGAGACCCTGTGTCAGGCTCTGCACTCACCACAGAGTCTGTTTGTCAGTCTCCCTTGGCTCCTCCCCCTGCTTGCTCTCTCTAACCTCCTCTCAAATAAAATAAATAAATAAATAAATAAATAGATAGTAGATAGATGATAGATAAATAGATGATAGATAGATAGATGATAGATAAATAGATGATAGAGATAGATAGATCATAGATAGATGATAGATAGATAGATAGATGATAGATAGATAGATAGATAGATAGATAGATAGATAGATGATAGATAGACAAAATCTTAAAAAAAAGATATGTGTCCTTCCACTTACGAGAGAGAAAGTTGCTTGTGAATGGTTATAAGCTACTAAAGATGATATAGATTGCATTAAAAATTACTGTCCACATGGCAAATCATGTTACTACTCAGCACACTGGTTCAAGAATCACCTGCCAGGTGTCTCACCGTCTGCTAAGACACCTTCATTGGGGATGAGGTGAGCCATGCAGGGTACAGGGGAAGGACAGAAGGTGGAGACAGCAATGGAGGTGAGAGGATCCCACCAAATACTGCACAATGCTTTGCACTCTTGCTGAAATGTTTAGTGGTAACCAGCAAGGCCTGGTATCTCACAGACATATCTTAGAGAAAATCACACCCCAACACCTGGCTTCTTTTATTACAAATGGACTGGAAGAATCCTTAGGAAGGTTTTGGTGTGTCACCTGAAGTCTTAGAATCTCAGCTTCCCCCTCAATTAAATGGGAATATGAAGACCTACCTTTGAAATACTTCTGTAAATCTTAAAATATCTAACATAGGAAAGAAGGAATCCCTGACTCAGAAGAAATATTCATGTGTTTTTATGAATCCTACTTAAACATGAGGAATTGAGAACCAGAGAGGTGAAATACCTCACAAAGTTCCCACAGCTAATTAGTAACAGAACTGAGCCTAGAATCCACATCTCTTAAGTATAAGTCTAAATCTCTTTTATGTTCATATGATGTGCACAGTAATGTCATAAGATTTCTTGGCCTGGAAAACAAGAAGAGCTAATGAATGAGCCCCTGCATTAAACTTCCCAGTCCAAGAGCCCTAAATGAACTCCTTACATTTGAAGGAATGATTAAGCTCTCCAGTTCTGGTGGGAAAATTTTGGAGGGTAGTTTCCAAGGAGAGCCTGAAATGGCCAAAGGCAAGAAGCCAAGTCAACTATCTCTTGAAGCTTCTTCATCTCTGAGTCAAATGACTTTTAGTGTTCATTAAATTTCTTGTAGACCAAAGGACTACATGACATCTGGATTCCAGGTTCTGTCAAAGCAAGGCTGGTTACCACTAGACCTTTCAGCAAAGGATTTGCTGAATGCACTTGACTATGTTCATTCCATCATGGAAACTGTGTAAATAGAACAAATGCAACTGAGGTTTGTCCTAGTTTGAGCCACCTCTGTCTTCATCTTAGCATTGATCAGGGCTCTGATTTTAACTCTGCTCATTTAAATTTGTATCTTACTAAGGTAAGGTTTCCAATGAATAATTCCAAAACACTGGTTAGATAAACTCAACTAATACAATGCAAATTTGAGGCAATAAATGATTTTAAAGGGATCAGAAATACTTTATGATTAAAAGTCAGATCACTGAGAGCAAGATTTATTGTTGCAGGGAATGGAAGAAGAGACAGAGAGTGAAGAAAGAGAATGTGCATTGAAAACAATGGCTTTATTTTTTATTTGAATTTATATACATATATATGTATATATATGTGTGTCTATTAACAAGATCTAATATCAGCAATAACTACATTCTTTTGCCAAACATGATACTTTAGTATATTAATAATAAAGATAGACTTAAAGGTGAATATGGGAAGATATCTCATTTATTCACTTATACAACAGATATTTACTGAAATCCTACATCAGGCTCTTCTAGACGCTAATGATACATCATGAACCAAAAAGAGAAAAAAAATTCCCTGCCACACCTAGGGCTTACTGTCCATGTGAGGAGGCTGACAAAAAAAATAAAAATAAGAAAATTAAATAAATTATATCAGCATATCAGAAAGTAATAACATCTCTCAAAAAATAAAAAAATAAAAAAAGTAGATGGGGAAGTGGGCGCATGAAATCCAAGGTGTGAGTTCCTCTTATCCAGAACATAGTCATATGATATAGGTACTCCTACAGCTCAGGTTCTGAGAATGCTTGATCTCTTCCACTCTTGAGTCCTGACTGTTGTCTTCATCAATCACAGAGATCAGTGCCCTACACATAAGCTTCTTTTCACTTGAACTAGTGTAAATTTCTGTTTCTAATCTCTAAGATATTTTTGTCATTCCTCCACAAAGATTTACCAGCGCATGGGATGAGTGGCAAGAGTTCTGATGGGTAATTTCTCTTTACAATCTTTTATTGAATGTTATATTTTAAGGAAAAATAATCTCCAACTCTTTTTAAATTATTATGAAGATACTGAATTACCAAATCAGAGTTGATAAGTGACCTAAGTGTGAAAATATTTTCATGACCCCATATTACTGGGTTTTTGTGATTTGGGTTTTGGTTTTGGTTTGTTTGTTTGTTTATTTTGTTTTTCTATTACATTAGCTCCTGTAAAAGACACCCAAATGAGAAGACTGCATCTTCTCATGTATCTGTGCAAGCTAATTTTGAGCTGCCTCTTTTTGTAGTCTTAAGAGACCAGGGAGCCTGTTGTCTATTACCCCTTACATTTCTGTAGACAAGTCTTGTGTGTACTCCTAGCCATGGCTCAGCCCCAGACACGCTTCTTCACTGACAACAAGAAATATGCGGTAGATGATGTTCCCTTCTCAATTCCTGCAGCCTCTGAAATTGCTGACCTTAGTAACATCATCAATAAATTGCTGGAGGCCAAAAATGAGTTCCACAAACATGTGGAGTTCGATTTCCTTATTAAGGGTCAGTTTCTGCTAATGCCCTTGTTCAAACACATGGAACTGGAAAACATCTCATCAGAAGAGGTTGTGGAATTGGAATATGTGGAGAAGTACACTGCCCCTCAGCCAGAGCAATACATGTTCCATGATGACTGTATCAGTTCTGTCCGAGGGGCAGAGGAATGGATCTTGACTGGTTCTTATGATAAGACTTCTCGGATATGGTCCTTGGAAGGAAAGTCAATAATGACAATTGTGGGACATACAGACGTTGTAAAAGATGTGGCCTGGATGAAAAAAGATAGTTTGTCTTGCCTACTACTGAGTGCTTCTATGGATCAGACGATTTTCTTATGGGCATGGAATGTAGAGAGAAACAAAGTGAAAGCCCTGCACTGCTGCAGAGGCCATGCTGGAAGTGTGGATTCTATAGCTGTTGATAGCACGGGAACTAAATTTTGCAGTGGCTCCTGGGATAAGATGCCAAAGATCTGGTCTACAGTTCCTTCAGATGAAGAAGATGAAATGGAGGAATCCGCAAATTGACCAAGAAAGAAACAGAAAACAGAGCAGTTGGGACTAACAAGGACTCTCATAGTGACCCTCTCTGGCCACAAGGAAGCAATTTCTTCGGTTCTATGGTCAGATGCTGAAGAAATCTGCAGTGCATCTCGGGACCACACAATTAGGGTGTGGGATGTAGAGTCTGGCAGTTTTAAGTCAACTTTGGCAGGAAATAAGATGTTTAATTGTATCTCCTATTCTCCACTTTGTAAACTGTTAGCATCTGGAAACACAGATAGACATATCAGACTGTGGAATCCCCAAACTAAAGATGGTTCTTTGGTGTCGCTGTCCCTAACCTCACATACAGGCTGGGTCACATCATTAAAGTGGTCTCCTACCCATAAGCAACAGCTGATTTCAGGTTCTTTAGATAATATCATCAAACTGTGGGAAACAAGAAGTTGTAAAGATCCTCTCTATGATCTGGCTGCTCATGAAGACAAAGTTCTGAGTGTGGACTGGACAGACACAGGGTTACTTCTGAGTGGAGGAGCAGACAAAAATTGTATTCCTACAGATATTCACCTACTACTTCTCATGTGGGGGCATGAAAGTGAATGATAAATTTGACTACAGAGATTCTTTCTGTAAATGAAATTGATAAAGAAGCCTCAGATTACATCAGTGATGGTTTAGAAAGCAGCCTCTTTAAGTTTATATGTTTTCACCCTTGATAGTAGCTATCACTATTTCTTTATTTTATATTTATTATACAATAGTTTATGTTGTTAAAATTTAAATGTGACCTGCCCTCTCTGCCATATGCAAACTCCTGAAAGTAAACTGAGTTTTTTTATTTCCTTTTATAGGTATTGGTTTGAATTAATTTTTGCTTTTGAAATGCTGTAAAAGCATATATTAAAAATATAGTAATTGTCCAGAGTTTTATTTCTGATGGGGAAACTTAAGTTTTCCAATGTTAGCTGTTTAAAAAAAGTATCTTAAGGAAACTAATAAATTCTAATATAGAAAAAATTAGAAATACAATTTGCTTAAGGTAAAATAGTGATGTCTAACTATAAAAAGACTTTGTGGGTATTCAGAACATTAAAACATGTAGATGTTGCCAATTAAGAGTTTGTTGAAATATTTTAGGTGAAGTACTTTGTATTAAAGCTCTGTTAGAATCCTAAAAAAAAAGACACCCAAACACACAAAGCTTTTGTCTAGAAAATTTGAATATTACTCTTCACAATTTTTTAAACTTTAATGTTTCATTTGTCACTACAAACCACCATTAGTCTGTTCCACACTTTCTTTATGGCATTTTTCATTTCCCTATTCCTGAAAGTGTAAATCAAAGGATTGAGCAAGGAGTTAGGATGGTGTAAAATATAGCCACCATTTTGTCAAAGGAGAAAGCAGATGGAGGTCATGCATACACAAATATGCAGGGGACAAAGAACAAAACCACAATAGCAATGTGAGATCCACAGGTGGAGAGAGCTTTCCGCTGCCCTTCAGGACTATGGGTTCTCAGAGAGCAAGATGACAACATAGGAGACAAGCAACAAAGAGAAGATTATGATGCAGATAGACCCACTGTTGGCGACCACCAAAAGGCCAAAGATGTGAGTGTCGGTGTAGGCAAGCCCCAGTAATGGGTACAAATCACACATGAAGTGATCAATGACATTGGGGCACAGAAGGGCAGCTGGAAAGTAAAGAGAATTTGTATCATGGAATGCAGAAACCCCCCATCCAGGCTATACCCATAAGAATGCCACAGAGCCTCCAGTTCATGATGGTTGTGTAGTGTAGGGGCTTACAGATGGCCACATAGTGGTCATAAGCCATGGCTGTGAGGACAATCACCTCCACTCCAGCAAAGAAGTGTTAAGCGAAGAGCTGGGTCATGCAGCCTCCAAAGGAGATGGTTTTCCTCTTTTGGAGGGAGTCCACAATCATCTTGAGGGCAATGACAGTGGAGAAGCAAGCATCCAGGAAGGACAGGAAAGCCAAGAAGAAGTACATGGGGGAGCCCAGGAGTGCTGGGCTGCTGCTGATGGTCACCACAATTAGCAAGTTGCCCCTGACAATTGCAATGTAGCCAAACAAAAATAAAACAAATACTATTTTATGAACATTAGGAATCTGTGAAAGCCCCAGGAGGACAAACTCAGTTACAAAGCTTTGGTTTTGCATGATTTCCAAGGGAAAGCTCAAAGCTGCCAGAGGAACATGTAGAGTGTACAATTATGAGAAAGAAAAATTTGTCTCAGGCCAGTCTAAAGTGATACAGTAGTCAATAAGAAGTTGGTGCATCCACATGAAAAATTATCTTCTGTGTTTCTAGCATCACTAAGAACACAAAATTCAAAATTTTTGAAGATGGTAGTGGGAGGTCAGGCAGAACTGAGGAGGAGAAAAAGTATTATTAGATACTTTAAAATAGCCAGAGCTCCAATAAGGGGGAATGGAGGTATCCACCTGTGTGGATAGTTTAGAAATAGTTTATCTCAACTGCCAACGCTACTCACTTAGCAGTGGCTTCTTGGAGTGAACTGTTCAGAAGCGTTCTAAGGAGAGGAGCATGACAGTGGAGTCATCATATCCACCCATGAGCACAGAATGGGAGCAGGGGGGACTTGCATGCCATCCCTGCTAGAAGTTTGCCTGATCTGCAAACAGAAGAAGAATAACATCCAGGTTAAGAGGCACTTGCAAATCATGGCTACTCTCCAAATATTTATTTAACATCTAAAATGAACTTGACTTTTAAGATGAGCTCATTCATTCCTTATAAAATAGAAAACTACATGGGAAAGCTCCATACAAACACAGAACAAGTATCCATGTGTTGAGTTTTTTTTTTATTCATCATTTTAAAATAAGAACTGAAATTTAGAAAAAAATACCTATATCATAGTATTGCCATGAGGACTAAGTTAAATAATACCCAAAAAAAAAATTTTCTGGGCCTAGTGCCCAGGAAACAGTCCATGTTAGGTCTTATCCCTGTTTTACTGGTAGGAAACTCATGTATACAAAGATAAGGTTAACAACAGAGGCTAGATCTGGGATGTTAACAGAGAAACTCTGGCTCTAACACCTAAGTCCTTCCCACTGTGTCAAAAGAAAAGAATAAGAACTTTCCTTTTCTAGCAGGAATGCAGAGCAGGGTGGCCTTTCAATTCTCCATCCACCTGTAGAGTTTCAAGCCTTCTGATTCCCTTGTTCATGTTTGGATGAGGCCCTTTGATGAAGGACACAGAACAAATGAGTGTAGAATCAGAAGATAATGGCCAAATTACAGATACAAATAGACAACAATTTGGCATTATTTTTTTATTTTATTTTATTACGTTATGTTAATCACCATACATTACATCATTAGTTTTTGATGTAGTGTTCCAGGATTCATTGTTTGCGTATAACACCCAGTGCTCCATTCAGTACATGCCATCTTTAATACCCATCACGAGGCTAACCCATTCCTCCATCCCCTTCCCCTCTAGAACCCTCAGTTTGTTTCTCAGAGTCCATAGTCTTTCACGGTTCATCTCCCCCTCCGATTTCCCCCCCTTCATTCTTCCCTTCCTGCTATGTTCTTCTTCTTTTTTTTAATTAACATAAAATCTATTATTTGTTTGAGAGGTACAGGTCTGAGATTCAACAGTCTTACACAATTCACAGCACTCATGATAGCACATACCCTCCCCAATGCCTATCACCCAGCCACCCCAACCCTCCCATCCCCCACCACTCCGCAACCCTCAGTTTGTTCCTGAGATTAAGAATTCCTCATATCAGTGAAATCATCTGATGCATGTCTTTCTCTGATTGACTTAATATCAACATAATACCCTCCAGTTCCATCCACATCATTGCAAATGGCAAGATTTCATTCCTTTTGATGGTTGCATAATAATCCATCTTCTTTATCCATTCATCTGTCGATGGACATCTTGGCTCTTTCCATAGTTTGGCTATTGTGGACATTGTTGCTATAAACATTGGGGTACACATACTCCTTCAGATCCCTACATTTGTATCTTTGGGGTAAATACCCAGTAGTGCAATTGCTGGGTCGTAGGGTAGCTCTATTTCCAACTTTTTGAGGAACCTCCATACTGTTTTCCAGAGTGGCTGCACCAGCTTGCATCCCCACCAACAGTGTAGGAGAGTTCCCCTTTCTCCAGCATTATTTTTAAGCAGCATCTACACACACAAAATGAGCTGGAAATTTTAATTGATCATAAGATTAAAATATGTTTTTTTAAATCATGTTTTTTTAAAAATATACTAATTCTAAAATTGGAGTGAAACTGCTTCATTCATGTAACCATTTGGAAAATGTTTTTGCATTATTTCCAGAATAATAAACATGTTTGTATTCCTCACATTAGTAACTCCCACCCTAAAGATTATTCTAAACATGAAATAGGATGGTATAGCTTTTATAATGGAAGATGATGTCATGTCATTTATAATAGTGAAAATTTAGAAATCTCTAACATGGTCAACAATAGGAGGATGTGAGGCGGGGAGGAGGAGCAAGATGGCAGAGGAGTAGGAGACCTAAATTTTGTCTGGTCCCAGGAATTCAACTAGATAGGGATCAAACCATTCTAAACACCTATAAACTCAACAGGAGATCAAAGAAAAGAATAGCAGCAACTCTCAGGACAGAAAAGCGACCACTTTCTGGAAGGTAGGATGTGCAGAGAAGTGAATGTAAGGCAATATTTAGAAAGATAAATGGCAGGGGAAGGGGCCTCTGTCAGCCGCTACCGGCAAGTGATAGAGAAGCAGAACACAAAATTGGAACTTTTAGAAGTCAGCTCTGCTGAGGGACGTCACTCCAGTGGCTAAGCAGGAGGTGGAACCATCACGGGGACAGTGTGCTCTCAGGACCCTCGGGGTCACAGAAAGACCAGGGGTGCCTGAGTGTGGCAGAGCTCCCAGGTATCAGAGTGGGGAAGCCAGCTGCAGAGACAGAGCCAAGGAGTGGGTTTTCAGCTCTGGGTTGCCATAAACAGTGATCCGTGGCACAGTCAGGCCACTGCTCTTCCAGCAGGAACCCAACAAGCGGCAGATCCGAGGAGACTCCC